AGCCCTGCTGCCCACTGCCTGTGTGCCGGTTTCGTTTTTCTAGGGTCTTTGAGCAGGATCGATTTCACTCACGTCATCTTGACCGAACAAGCTTGTTAAATAGTGAAAACAAAATTAGTGTTTTCCCGCGGGACAAATCGGGCGATCTCGTACAGTCAAAGTTAGGCCCGTCCTGTCCGTTCTGGTAGCCAGTCGTAACACAGGACTCACTTTATCTCGCCCGCTCGCGAGGCTGGCCACCTATCAGTTAACGAAAACAGGTAAAAGTGACCTATAGTAGGCATTTTAATATGGGCCTACGGTCCAGCTGATTAAGGAGTTTAAAGCTAGCTTAAGCAACGGAAACGTGAACGTAAAAAAACAACGACAACAGCTGCTCTGCACGAGCATTACACCTGTTTGTACACTGCATTTCTTTGACATCTGATGCACGACCACGACGTATAATTTCCTAATTTGACGTTGTGCAGACGATGTGAACACAAGACACGAATTTTCTGTCCCTTTTTGAATTTGGATACAGTCCTCAAGTTTTTAACTCCCGGAAAACTCGCCCACATTTGACAATTTGAGCGAGACTAAATAAAGGCGATAGAGTTTGAATGAAGGCAAATGAAAGGAGCTGTGTTATGAATTTTATCAACATTCTAACAGTGGCAGCTGCCACCAAATTGTGTGAAACAATGAAATAATTGCTCTACGGATGGACAAACTTCAGGAAGATTAAAACAGATTGTAATCGTGGGTTTTCGAAAACTTGTTAGCCTAACAGTTTTTCAAAGTTCATTTTTGTTGTTTGTAACGTTTCATATAATCAACTTGTGACTCAGTATTTCTTTAACAAGAAGCTGTGATTTTGTCATTTACAAGTAGTTTCTCGTTAACGTTAAGTTCGGCACAGTGCGTAAGGAAGGAAGGAAGAAAGGAGTCATGGATGAGAGGACAACAGACGTACACTCTTTACAATATATATTAACATGTTAACAGTGCTGAAGCTCGGACGTCAGCATACAAAGACGCCATTGGCGGGGGCTATCGGTCCATTTTTTATGAGCTTACTGTACCCACCCAACTCATGATGTGAATGATGTGTGAAGGTTGGCCACACCACCGGGGTCTACGTCCCCTATTCTTTTCGAACAGTGGGGTGGGTTCTTTTACGTCCCACTAGAACATATAAGTGTAAGTGCTATGACCTACGGTTTTTCGTCCTTATCCGAGAGGACTAGAAAGTAGACCGGCGCTCTCCCGAGTTAACTGAGCTAACCAGGCGGCGGTTTTGGCAGCGTGATTGGCAATATTAAAGAATGTTATCAATTTAGATTTCTGGAAAACTACCCACCTGCCCCTCCCCTAAGCCAATATTGTCACTTAGTTCACACTTAGCGCAAAATGTTGGGTTAAGGAAGGGGTAGCTGGGCAGTTTCCCTGATCCAAAGAATGAAACAGACAGCCGCGACATGGCCTCTTAATTTTTTTTATGGTGACGTTTTCTCAGCCTTTGTCGTCTTCCAATTATTTCGGATATCTGCACCCCCACCCCCTTCCCCCACAGTCACCCTTCGGATGTAGGTGGTCCCCTCTGCAGCGATTATTATGTTTATTTCGCCAAATAAGCTACTTCATCTCAATCCTTGTTTGTCTAACGGACGCAAATCTGTTGATAAAAAATATCACTTATGGAATCCGGAAATTCCTGTCTCCGTTTCTTAGCAAAGTGTTGAATTTTAGAGATATGATAGCAGGAAATTTGTTTTGTTCAGTATCTATAAATGTAACTGTATGAAAATGTTGAGTCTCTCTAAAATTGTCTTCCGACCAACGTAGTTTTTCAATCAGTTAAACCCTCCAACAAAATCTCTATTCCTTGACAATATAATACTATCAGAGATTCGCAAAATCTCCTGATGGCAAACAGGTTTTTTTTTTTTTAGTTTTCAAGTACCACTCTCGAAAAAAGTCCAATATTACAACCGCAGTGGACCTTGGTCATCAACAACTTATAATTTTGACACGCAAAAGGTGCTGTTATTTCGTCCGGTCACTTTTACATACGTTGTTTTGATGCATAGGAAGAAGTAAAAAGCCAATTCAACCAAGGTTTATTGGTAAGCATTTATCTTTTACTTTGAGCAATCAATCCAATTAACGTCCAGATAATAACTTGGACTGATCAGATGGGTTGAAAAAGATAGAACATGTTTCATGACATGAATCTTCAGCTACTTCTGTAAACTGAGGTGGCTCGAACTTTGGAGTCGGCAGTTCAAATTCTTACGGTATGACCATTCAAATGAAAGTTATACTGAACAGTACTTTCGGATTCCAGTGGTACTGTTTATTATGCTGTACAAGGTGTTTCTAACTTTTGGGTCTGTGGATGAAATCCTAGTGTGACCATTCATGTGAAAGCTGCTGAGCAGTATTTTCCTGTTGTGCTGTTTATTATGCTATAAAAAATGGTTCTAACTTTTAAGCCTGTGGATGAAATCCTAAAAGGTGACCATTCAAATGAGGGCTACTGAGCAGTACTTTCCCGTGTTGCTGTTTATTATACTGTACTACTTCCCTGTAGGTAATGAATGATATCCGATGATAGTTAGACGCAAATTCAGTCACTTTGTGGTGATGAATTAATCCCTCTAACCTCTCCAACACACTCAGTTAAGTCTAATACATCGTATTATTTCGGCTCTTGATTTATTTAAGTCTCTTAAGCTTACTTCGATGTCTAAGAGCTCTTTTAACTTTATATTTTGAGCCGGCTGGAACATTTTCCCCATTGATCTGACGCAAAACTGTTTTTCCGGCAGCCCCCATCTTCTAAACTACAAGTTCTGTTCCACACAGCGTTTGGATCATGGAAGATATTGAACTTAGTCCAGAAATACCAGTATTTATGGACAAGAATGTTTGTAAAAATATCGCACACTCAAACTCTACCATGTACACCATATAGTCACCCTTATAGTATTAATAGCAAGTAAGATCTGTTTTCTGCAGATTTCCTTTTTAGCGCAAAAGTGGCAAACTTGAAAGGGAGATTGAGCGACGGTTAGCTGAAATTTTTTTCTTTTTGGTGTAAGTTATAAGTTGTTGACCAAATGGCCTCGAAAAACAAAAACCACAAGAATAGTTAACGACACCGCAATAATTCTATGACGGCAAAAAAGGCTTGACCAGTGGGGAAAACGTGTTAGTAGAAAACCGCTTAGTTCTTCCTAAAAATAAACTAACATGGAATCTGAAAGCGCTAATTTTGACGAAAAAAATTGAAAATTGAAATTAAATATATGAAGACATCATCCGAAAAATCTTTGATCTGTTTTTAATTATAGAGAGATTAAGTAATTACCTATTCGATGTATATTGTGATTTGCAACTTTAGAAAAGGTGAACGACTTCTAAGACGCTTTTTTTCTGTTTATTTCTGTACAATTACAAACTGTCTAGACTGTTTAAATCCGTTTTTACTTATAAACAAAAATTGTCAGCTGAATTTTATTGCAGCAATATTTTGTAACATTATAGTGCATCTTACGTTTAGTAAGGCTGTATTTTTGTTCCGCAAAAGATCGGCAAAAAGTGAAAAATCGCCACAAAATTAGATTTCTCCGCGCAACCTTAGTAAATAAATTTTGAGCCTAAAAAAATCTACATACTTTGCGGAAATGAGTTTTATGATTAATTGTTTTTGTTACGTCTGAGTCCTCTTTCTGTTTGATGGTGTACATGTGATTCAGCCTCTGTTCCTGATCTTTGGACCATGTCAAGTACATAGAAGAAAAATACCCAAGCCTTTAGTAAACAAACTCTGTTGGTTCAAAAAACGATGTGTCTTCTCTGATCGGCATATCAGATATACTTTACGCTTGCCCGCTTTGTCGCCAGTTGTCCGAGTTTTGTGGATCTCGCCCCTTTTCCCGTTTTCCTTTTCTGATCAAACTGGCGAAAACTTTTCCAATGTTAAAACGTTTTCCCATCCATTTGAATGCAGATTAGCAGATTACATCAACAACAACCCAACACAGACGGGAAAAACAAACAAAGGTTCCGCAGAGGCAGAGAAAGCCGGCTAGCACGCGAAGATAACTATCAAAGCTTAGGGACGGTGTTACGGGTCCACCTAAAATCTTCAGAACTACCATCGCTAACCTCTTGATCAGGATTTTGTTATGTGAGTACTGATTTCTATCTTGTTTCCGTTTCAGCGCCGATTTACATAATACAGTGATGATACTAATGCGGCAATGTTTTTTTCAAGAAGATGACTTCACTGCCACAGAACTGAACGGGTCACAGATCTTTTAGAAATAATTCACCTCGTTGACAAGTTACGTTTTCTGAGCAGCCGAATGACGTTGCATTCATGTTAAGTCACTCTGATCTCCGCCGGCTGGCCGGCACCATTTAGCAACTTATAGGCATTTGAACTAATCCAGCCGCCGATCGATTGTTTTTAAGTGAATCAGTACTAAGGGATTATGTGAATAAGCACTTCAAACGTCGTGTACTTTTATCTCCAAAACGTCTTAGGAGGTAATTTTAGTTAGGCCAACAGGTTTATAACTTTGGTTTTCTTTTGCCGATCTTGGTTTTGTTTCTTCATGACTCCATAACTTTTAGTGAATCGACTTTGATTATTGCCCTGACTTGACTGACCACGAAGAGCTTTCGCTTTAACTCACTGTACTGGTCACTCTGACTGTATACCTACTTAAATAGAATTCCATGCTTCACAAAATGTATCAGTTGCGTGTCTGAATTCTCGCCATTGCCTAATTAACAAACTGGATTTTGTGCTCATCCATGGTAAAGCTCTTCTTAACTCTTCTGTAAAGCATCATATCATCGTTTGCTCCTCAGATCAAAGGTGGTTGATGCTGCTAAGCTTCTGTTGTGTTCCAAATTCTTAGTCTTTGAGGCATGCTTTACACCTTTTTACGAGGAAATAATTAAAGCGAGAAATTTTCTGTAACAGTCTGTTATCTGAATTTCAGGTGTTTCAAGCTTCGTATCCAAATACAGCGGTGTATGGAAATTTTAGAACAAACAGAGCAGCCACTTTAAAAAAAAAGTTTAATTCAGAAGGGTTTTACAGAGGAAACCACTTCCGAGGTCATCATTGTCATGATTCTGTATTTCAAAGGTTTTCCTCAGCGCCATCACCAAGCAAACGCCTTCAAGGTCTTTGTTAACTCATTTCTCTTCATATCCTCTTTAACAAGCCTCTGTTTCGGCCAAATATTTGCCGTTTCACCTGGTTATCCGAGCTTTTCGACTAGGGGAAAATCTGGAGACATGGATCTCGGTTATAATGCGAACTTCCCTGTTGATAAACCATCCGATATTGTTTTAGGGGGGCTATTTCCCATGCACAATAAAAACATCACAGAACATGGCTCTACTTGTGGGAGCCTAAACGTGGAGCGAGGTATTCACAGATTTCAAGCTGCGATATTCGCGATAGAAGAGATCAACAGGAACCCTGATCTGTTGCCAAACATTACCCTTGGCATGTCGGCGTATGATACTTGTGGAAGAGACACTAGAGCTTTAGAGGAATCGCTCAAGTTTGTCATGGAATCACTTGCTAAAAATAGGACCGTAAGCTGTTCAAATGCGTTTACAGCGTCTTCCTCAATGAAAGAACGAATCATGGCAGGAGTTGTTGGAGCAGCAGCAAGTACTGTTTCCATCCAAATCGCAAATCTCTTAAGGTTGTTCAAACTACCGCAAATAAGTTATGCTTCTACTTCAACAGATCTCAGCGACAAAGCAAAGTACGATTTTTTCGTGCGCACTGTACCCCCTGACAACTACCAGGCGCGCGCGATGATCGATGTTGTGCGTGGATTAAAATGGACGTCTGTGTTCGCCGTGAGTTCCGAGGGAAATTACGGAGAGCGGGGTATACGGGAATTTACCAATGACGCGAAAGCGGCAAATATTTGTATCGCGGGGACGTTTAAGATTGACGGAGGTTCGAGCGGCGACGAACAAATCGCCAGCATGGTCAAAGAATTTCTGAAACGCCAGACTGTCCGTGGAATTATTTTATTTTGTACTGATACAGACGCTAGAAGAATCCTACAAGAAGCTAAACGTCAAAGTGCCGCTGGTAAATTTACATGGATAGCGAGCGATTACTGGGGAACGCGGAAAAAAACCATTGACGGTCTCGAGAAATACGCGGAAGGAGCGATAACAATAAGTTTGACGGAGGCAAAAGTTACTTCGTTTAAACAGAACTTCACTTCTTTAAAACCTAATAACCACAGTTTGCGAGTGAATCCGTGGTTTGAAGAGTTTTGGGAAACGCAGTTTAACTGCCGCTTGAGCGAAAGTGCTTGTCGCTCGCGTTCTCTTAAAGATATGGACATGCGCATTGATGATAAAGTGCCTTTTGTTATTGACGCTGTGTATGCGTTTGCGCATGGCCTTGACGCCATGTACAAAAGCTTCTGTCCAGCTAGGAACGGCCTGTGTCCTGAATTGATGAGGCACTTCGATGGCAACCAGCTACGAGACATACTTTTTAACGTAAGCTTCACTGGAGAAACTGGCTCAGTCAGCTTTGATCGCAACGGAAACGGCCCGGGTAGATACGACATTTATCGTCTGCAAGGCGGGAAATACGTAAAGATAGCCTCTTGGGATGATAAACTGTACGATGCACAGAAACTTTACGATGGAGCAAAGAACGGAACGGCTTTGTCACGTTGTGGAGTTCCTTGCACTGCTGGTCACTACAAAGTGTTTGATTTTGACGGATCCTGCTGCTGGACTTGCAAGAAATGTCCTGAAAATAACTACGTGCAAGGTATTTTTTGTTACATTAACTTAAGCTACAGTAAAGCGGGCAACAAAACACTTGTTTTGCATCATTGCTTCAAACAGAATTGATTCAAGGTACTACTTTGGATAATGCTATCGCTTACTTTCTAGACTTTCCATGTTGCGCGGAAAAACTGAATCAAAATTCGTTCCCCCTACGCACAGTCCATTTGAGACAACACCGACCAAATCTCACGTGCAACATAAGGCTGGTCAAGGAGATGCTCTGTCTTAGTTGTTAAGAGTGCTGTCCACTGGATAAATCACTATCTAGTGCAAAAAGCATTTGGCTTTCACACACTTATCCACCGGATAAACTATCCAGTGAACCGCTTTTGAAAGACCGGGGCCATTTTGTCAGAGGTTTGAATGTGCTCCAGGATTGAAAAAGCTCCTTTATACTCAGTTCTGATTGGTTGACCTGCTTGTTTATTTAACAAGAACAGAAACCCCAGGGGCACCCAACGACAATTTTCCGAAAATATCTGTTCGGAAGACGATTTGAGATCTAGAATTTTCGGAACATTTGTTGTAAAATTTTTTGCTTGCCTGCCTCTCCTAGGATTTTCGAACATCTAAAAACTACTATAATTGCCCATTTTTAACGGATTTTTACCCTCAAAAGGTCACCTAGAATTTTCGGGAGCCTTTTTGCTGGCTGAAATTTTCGAAAAGGTAAGTTTTGATCCCTATAATTTTCGGATCACTAGACTTTCAGCTAGGAAATCCGAACAGATGAAAAATTTTTATGGGATAAAAATATGCCTATATCTACCGTTTAAATACTAAAATACGTTTAACAATGCTATATTTAAGTGGTTTTGATTTACATTATCGTTGGGTGCCCCTGAAACCCTACTTCCAAGACAATAAAAGGTAGACCATACTACAGCGATCTCGGTCTACACAATTCCAAAGCGAAATAAGGCATTTTGACGTGTACAGTTAATAATGACAATGTTATTTTTATTTTTATGTACAATGATTACCTTAACTCCACAGGTGAGGTATCTTGCAAGCCCTGCGAACAAGGACAACGGCCCAACGCCGAATTCAGTGGTTGTGAGTCGCTCCCTCGACGCAACATCGCACAGAGCTGGTTCATTATGGTCATGGTATTTGCGGGCCTGGGTATCATGTGCACAATTTTTGTAGGGACATTATTCTACATCAATCACGACACCCCCTTAGTTAAGGCCTCGGGCAGGGAGCTCACATGCGCACTTCTTTTTGGTTTACTCTCTTGTTACGTGTTTTCATTCTTCTTGCTGGCTGAGCCGTCGACTGTGGTTTGTGCAATCCAGCGGTTTGGTCTTGGATTTTCGTTTTGCGTGTGCTACGCGGCAATTCTGATTCGAACCAGTCGGATTGCAAGAATTTTTGAGAAGAGCAAACGGTCAACGAAGCCACCGATGCTCATCAATCCGGCCTCACAAATCGCCATACTAGGCGTATTTGTTTGCGTCGACGTTGCCTTCGCTGTATTAGGGCTGGCAAAATGGCCACCGGATACTGTCCTTGCTTACCCAACGAATAAAGACGTATTGCTAATTTGCAACATTCAAAGTTACGATCTTATCTTTGCGTTGACGTACAATGTGATAATTATTCTTCTCTGTACATTTTACGCGTTTAGAACGCGCAAAACACCCGCAAACTTCAACGAAGCGCGGTACATTGGCTTCGCTATGTACACGACTTGTATCATTTGGGTCGCATTCATTCCGGTGCAAATCGGCGTGAACAAAGACTACGCGACAATAACCCTCAGTATCAATACGACTCTTAACGCTACAACGCTACTGTTGTGCATTTTCGGACCTAAAGTGTACATCCTGGTGTTAAGACCAACGCGGAATCTGCGCAGTAAGTCCCTAAACAGTTGGCGCTCTCATGAAGCTGAATTTCACAACACCACAGGTAGGGACTGTCACTCAGGGACCCTGGATGGGCCTTCGAGTCATTGTACAGTTACAAACTTCTACTATGAGAGTACAATATGAATCACTTTATAAATATGACTTGAGAAGATAATTTGTGTAGACCTCTGTGTAATCTAATTGAAAAGCACTATCATGAGCGTGCTTCACTTGATACAGTCAAACCTCGGACGGCCCTGCTGAGCGGTCACCCTCCATATCACGGTCACCGGACAACTTCCCAAAATTTTCAGTTGCCTTATAATTTCTGCGAAGTTGACCTGTATATAGCGGTCACTCTGTGTATAACGGTCACCTTGCCATTTCCCAAGGGTGACCGTTCTACACAGGTTTGATCGTATTGATGTTTTGCTAGATGGTGAATTTACCACCTAGGAGTGTGATATAGGTGCGCGTTCATTGAATCTTGACACCAGGTTTGCGAATGTCGGGTGTCCGTGGAGCGGGGTCACCAGTTGTGTTTACTCCTCCTAACATCGATAAGAAAGGTGTGAATGCACGTAGCTCACAGGTAAAGATAACAAGTTCTGTGCTATTCTTTCGTTCCACTTCGTTTTTTAACTCTCTCCACCAAAAAGGTTTCCACGAAATGAAACAAAAGGATTTGTCAGAAACTAAAAGTGATAAAACGGGGACGATAGGGCGAGGAAAATGCGCTTTTTCTTTGTCCACTTTCCATCATTTCTCGAACACTTTCTTTCCCACTCCCCAAGCCCCTTGGGGCACCAAAGAGATATTGGAGGAAATCTCCGAAGCGTCCACGCAAAAGAAGTGCTCATACAGTTTTTTATTCACCTTTGTTATTCTGTTGTCACACAACAAGTATTCCGTGATGTTTCTCTCGGCTCCATAATTGGTAGAAAGGTTTCTGTCACGAAAAGCCCTTTTGTATTTGTAAGAGATCAACATAGAGAGTAAAACATCGCCCTATGTACCCATATGCTTGAAGTGTCCCTATGTGAGGCAATATTCGGCGCAATCGCGTGTTTGGTTTGCTCGCGAGGGAGCGCGTACACGCGAACACGCTATTCATGGTCGTTTTCATTTAGTTCCAAGGTGTGTCTAACCACTTAATTCACAATTCGTGAACACAACCATGGCCGCGAATTTCTCCGCTGCAACAGCAATATGAAAGTGCAAGCACACCACTCTAGCTATTTCAAATTTTGGTGAGGTGTTTAAGGGCGCCATTTTTATTATGTAAGTGACGTTAACGTTGTCTTGTAAGAAGTTTTGAGCAAAAAAGATGTAGCTAATTTTCCAGTGTGCAGATTCCTAGGATTTCAAGAGTTATTTGCGTTGCATAATCGTGAGTCTGCACCTTTATTTTCTGTCTATCATCCTTACAGAGTTAGGGAAACTGATGTGAAACATGTGTTTATTTTTTAGGCAGGGAAAAGTCAGAAAGCCAAACAACAGATACAAGCACCAAAAGCAACACGTCCACAGAGCTTGGAATCGAAAATTTGGCGATAGAAAGTGGGCATGTTCATTTCAAGTCTACAGTTGAAGAGAACATTTACACATAAAATTTTATCCAAGCCTAATCCTTGATTACTCTGTTTTCTTTTATTGTTCCTTTCGACCATTGCTGCTATTGTTAGTATTCATTCCGCGTTTTGCCACTTTTGTCAACAGCACCAAACGTTTTCCTGCCAGGATTGGCTTCTGCGTCCGCTGCCATTCCCAGCTACTTCCTTACACGTGCCACACCCATCCGCGTGTTATTTACCATTACACATGAAATTTGTAAAAAACAGGTGTGAATCCAGTTACTCGCCAGAATTGTTGTGCAGTGTCAAAACAAACATCTTAACAACACTCAACAACGTTCTGAGTGCTTTGAAATGGCACAAAAAGACTTGTAAAAGACTATCCTTCTGTTCATGCTCGCCAACCATTCGTTACCTTCATTTATGTATCTGTCACGAAATTGCTTCTAACATTTTCTAATTTGCCAATTTTTTTATGAAGAGAATTTGGAGTATTTTTAAGATAAATATAAATATTGTTGAAAGTCAGTGTTAAGTTATTTAGGGGCAAAAATTTTGTCTTAAGTATTAACTAAAATTGGTAAATTGTCAAGCCGAGATATGTTCCCCTCGCCAAATGTAAAGTAAAGTATCTGATACTAAAATCACTTGTAGATAGTATTTAAAATGATATTAAAGCGGGACTTATGAAATTTGAATCTTTCTTTACGTGTAATGTAATTGAAACATTTACGAGAGTAGACTTTTGCTAAAAAATATCAATTTTATAGCCATTTTTGTTGCACCGCCGGATTTGTCATTTTGTGAAGACCGTGTTGGCTTAGCTGTGCATGCAGAAGTCGTCAAATTTTGATCCACTACTAGACAGAGGTGGAAGATGGTCCATGTTACAAATTTTGAACCTACTTCTTTAACCCTTGAAACGCCCGTAACGTGCTTTGTACCGCTTGTGACGTCACCAGTTTTAACGGTCAAGGACAACTTTGTCATCTAACTTCAGTAGGAGGAAGAGATCTTTCATTCCATACCAAAATAAGCGCGATTCAGTCAAGGAGGCCTAGAAACCGCAGAAAAAAAAACAAAACAAAACATGTAACGTTGACCCGAAAATTCCGATGAAAATCTTGTTCCACTACCTACTTACTCTTCCTGCCTTCCATCTAATCCTACGATTCTAAGCAAAACTAGCAAAAGGGGCAAGAATAGCGAAAGAACAGAGGACTCGGAAAGAAGGCGAAAGGTTCAAGACTGTGTCTCGAAATTTGTTTTCTGTGAATGCCGAAACTTCGGAAGCTGATATCGGAGGATAGAAGGCAAAGAAGTGCTCGACTTACAGACCGCGTTTTAGGCCATTTTGAATCGTTATAGCAATACCAAGACCAGAAAATGCCTTGATTAACTTCTAAAGGCGTTTTCCGGTAAAATTCCTAGAAGCAAATGAGTTACTAATCCTTTTCCTGACAGCTCTCCTTCCCCAATGTTCAAACCAACACCTCTTGAAAATAAGTTATCAGGCAGGGGTGTTGCAAAAATGTCAAGTACTGTAACTTTCTCAACCCACTTCCAAGTGTCTGGATATCTTTTTCCTTATTCCTTAGGTATGAAAGATCCACGGTTTTGGTGCTTCAAACCTTGCACACAGCAACTTATGGTTTGAGAAAAAAAGAACTATTGTTTTGTAATCTACATAATTCAAGGTTGGGACTTAGTATGTCCAGACTGTAGTATGTCTAACATAGCAAGCTTCCCATATGTCTGCATATAAGCCCAGCTAGTAACGTCTGCAAAGCAGGGCCAGTATCCTTGCTCTATTTAGGCCACCAACAGGCTCAACAGATTACCAGATATGCATTTCAAATTTCCCTTCAACCTGCTTGGCAAATCAACAATGACATTTTTAACAGGCCAATCATGGCATGTACTCAAATCCAGGTACACAGGTGGTGTCCAGAACAAGGATTTCAGGGCTGTTTCGCTGATGGACTTAACCAGAAGTATAGCTCTGCCTGTGGTGCTGGCTAGTCTAACATCGCGTTTATAATAATGATTTCCTTTAGTAACAAAATAATCACACTTCACTGTCCACAATAAAAAAAAAACGATAAGTTTATTATTCAATGCCTTAAGTATATGACAATTTCTAATTCTGACTTTGAACTATAGCACTTTCCTCTTGCAATTCATCATCAATATTATCCTCATCATTTCCGTAAACAACCCATTTTCCATTTTTAACAACCGGCAGCTTAGGCAAAGGTGGTAGCGAGTTATCTTTCAGTTCAACATAAGCCATATTTGGGAATGTCGATCTTGGTGGATTAGGAATTTTGGTAATTTGAACAAAATTTCCATATCTGTCCTTGTATCTTTCCTTCAGAGTGGTATAAAGTTTATCCAGTGCTTCTTCATTCTATGAGCAACAAGAACATAATGTAAACTGCTGTTAGTTTGAAAATATATTTCTTCAAAAGTTTGTTACTTTTGCCTAACATGGGGACTGGGGGGTATAGAATGACCACATCAACAAAAACACAGAGTTTTAGTAAAGATAACAAGTTCTGTGCTATTCTTTCGTTCCACTTCGTTTTTTAACTCTCTCCACCAAAAAGGTTTCCACGAAATGAAACAAAAGGATTTGTCAGAAACTAAAAGTGATAAAACGGGGACGATAGGGCGAGGAAAATGCGCTTTTTCTTTGTCCACTTTCCATCATTTCTCGAACACTTTCTTTCCCACTCCCCAAGCCCCTTGGGGCACCAAAGAGATATTGGAGGAAATCTCCGAAGCGTCCACGCAAAAGAAGTGCTCATACAGTTTTTTATTCACCTTTGTTATTCTGTTGTCACACAACAAGTATTCCGTGATGTTTCTCTCGGCTCCATAATTGGTAGAAAGGTTTCTGTCACGAAAAGCCCTTTTGTATTTGTAAGAGATCAACATAGAGAGTAAAACATCGCCCTATGTACCCATATGCTTGAAGTGTCCCTATGTGAGGCAATATTCGGCGCAATCGCGTGTTTGGTTTGCTCGCGAGGGAGCGCGTACACGCGAACACGCTATTCATGGTCGTTTTCATTTAGTTCCAAGGTGTGTCTAACCACTTAATTCACAATTCGTGAACACAACCATGGCCGCGAATTTCTCCGCTGCAACAGCAATATGAAAGTGCAAGCACACCACTCTAGCTATTTCAAATTTTGGTGAGGTGTGTAAGGGCGCCATTTTTATTATGTAAGTGACGTTAACGTTGTCTTGTAAGAAGTTTTGAGCAAAAAAGATGTAGCTAATTTTCCAGTGTGCAGATTCCTAGGATTTCAAGAGTTATTTGCGTTGCATAATCGTGAGTCTGCACCTTTATTTTCTGTCTATCATCCTTACAGAGTCAGGGAAACTGATGTGAAACATGTGTTTATTTTTTAGGCAGGGAAAAGTCAGAAAGCCAAACAACAGATACAAGCACCAAAAGCAACACGTCCACAGAGCTTGGAATCGAAAATTTGGCGATAGAAAGTGGGCATGTTCATTTCAAGTCTACAGTTGAAGAGAACATTTACACATAAAATTTTATCCAAGCCTAATCCTTGATTACTCTGTTTTCTTTTATTGTTCCTTTCGACCATTGCTGCTATTGTTAGTATTCATTCCGCGTTTTGCCACTTTTGTCAACAGCACCAAACGTTTTCCTGCCAGGATTGGCTTCTGCGTCCGCTGCCATTCCCAGCTACTTCCTTACACGTGCCACACCCATCCGCGTGTTATTTACCATTACACATGAAATTTGTAAAAAACAGGTGTGAATCCAGTTACTCGCCAGAATTGTTGTGCAGTGTCAAAACAAACATCTTAACAACACTCAACAACGTTCTGAGTGCTTTGAAATGGCACAAAAAGACTTGTAAAAGACTATCCTTCTGTTCATGCTCGCCAACCATTCGTTACCTTCATTTATGTATCTGTCACGAAATTGCTTCTAACATTTTCTAATTTGCCAATTTTTTTATGAAGAGAATTTGGAGTATTTTTAAGATAAATATAAATATTGTTGAAAGTCAGTGTTAAGTTATTTAGGGGCAAAAATTTTGTCTTAAGTATTAACTAAAATTGGTAAATTGTCAAGCCGAGATATGTTCCCCTCGCCAAATGTAAAGTAAAGTATCTGATACTAAAATCACTTGTAGATAGTATTTAAAATGATATTAAAGCGGGACTTATGAAATTTGAATCTTTCTTTACGTGTAATGTAATTGAAACATTTACGAGAGTAGACTTTTGCTAAAAAATATCAATTTTATAGCCATTTTTGTTGCACCGCCGGATTTGTCATTTTGTGAAGACCGTGTTGGCTTAGCTGTGCATGCAGAAGTCGTCAAATTTTGATCCACTACTAGACAGAGGTGGAAGATGGTCCATGTTACAAATTTTGAACCTACTTCTTTAACCCTTGAAACGCCCGTAACGTGCTTTGTACCGCTTGTGACGTCACCAGTTTTAACGGTCAAGGACAACTTTGTCATCTAACTTCAGTAGGAGGAAGAGATCTTTCATTCCATACCAAAATAAGCGCGATTCAGTCAAGGAGGCCTAGAAACCGCAGAAAAAAAAACAAAACAAAACATGTAACGTTGACCCGAAAATTCCGATGAAAATCTTGTTCCACTACCTACTTACTCTTCCTGCCTTCCATCTAATCCTACGATTCTAAGCAAAACTAGCAAAAGGGGCAAGAATAGCGAAAGAACAGAGGACTCGGAAAGAAGGCGAAAGGTTCAAGACTGTGTCTCGAAATTTGTTTTCTGTGAATGCCGAAACTTCGGAAGCTGATATCGGAGGATAGAAGGCAAAGAAGTGCTCGACTTACAGACCGCGTTTTAGGCCATTTTGAATCGTTATAGCAATACCAAGACCAGAAAATGCCTTGATTAACTTCTAAAGGCGTTTTTCGGTAAAATTCCTAGAAGCAAATGAGTTACTAATCCTTTTCCTGACAGCTCTCCTTCCCCAATGTTCAAACCAACACCTCTTGAAAATAAGTTATCAGGCAGGGGTGTTACAAAAATGTCAAGTACTGTAACTTTCTCAACCCACTTCCAAGTGTCTGGATATCTTTTTCCTTATTCCTTAGGTATGAAAGATCCACGGTTTTGGTGCTTCAAACCTTGCACACAGCAACTTATGGTTTGAGAAAAAAAGAACTATTGTTTTGTAATCTACATAATTCAAGGTTGGGACTTAGTATGTCCAGACTGTAGTATGTCTAACATAGCAAGCTTCCCATATGTCTGCATATAAGCCCAGCTAGTAACGTCTGCAAAGCAGGGCCAGTATCCTTGCTCTATTTAGGCCACCAACAGGCTCAACAAATTACCAGATATGCATTTCAAATTTCCCTTCAACCTGCTTGGCAAATCAACAATGACATTTTTAACAGGCCAATCATGGCATGTACTCAAATCCAGGTACACAGGTGGTGTCCAGAACAAGGATTTCAGGGCTGTTTCGCTGATGGACTTAACCAGAAGTATAGCTCTGCCTGTGGTGCTGGCTAGTCTAACATCGCGTTTATAATAATGATTTCCTTTAGTAACAAAATAATCACACTTCACTGTCCACAATAAAAAAAAAACGATAAGTTTATTATTCAATGCCTTAAGTATATGACAATTTCTAATTCTGACTTTGAACTATAGCACTTTCCTCTTGCAATTCATCATCAATATTATCCTCATCATTTCCGTAAACAACCCATTTTCCATTTTTAACAACCGGCAGCTTAGGCAAAGGTGGTAGCGAGTTATCTTTCAGTTCAACATAAGCCATATTTGGGAATGTCGATCTTGGTGGATTAGGAATTTTGGTAATTTGAACAAAATTTCCATATCTGTCCTTGTATCTTTCCTTCAGAGTGGTATAAAGTTTATCCAGTGCTTCTTCATTCTATGAGCAACAAGAACATAATGTAAACTGCTGTTAGTTTGAAAATATATTTCTTCAAAAGTTTGTTACTTTTGCCTAACATGGGGACTGGGGGGTATAGAATGACCACATCAACAAAAACACAGAGTTTTAAAGTCATACATACATACTGGCCCCACTTGTTCAAATGGTAGATAATTCTATCCACTGAGAAAATCTCCATCTAGTGGATAACACAGTTGGTTTCTCTAGATAGTGATTTGTCCAGTGGACAGCACTATCCCTTTTTTGGACAAGCGGGAAACTGGTAGGTCAATTTTTATAAATTTCTAGTGATATATCAAAAATTTCTTACTCCTAGCAGCATCTCCAATGCAATTTTCTTGCATCTTTGCATGTATTCTTTTTCGCCCTGAACTTGAGGTGGAATAACAATCTTTTTACTCATTCTGTTGATTAAGCGCTTTTTGATCATTTTTTCTGTGGCCTCCTTCTCAGTCAGAACCCAACTGTCCTCGATCATATCTAAATCTGGAGGTGGATGTCGTCGCTGCATCAAGGTAATAACCTGAAAATGGTGAAGTTATAGGTATACTGTAAAGAAAAATTACAATTGCAAAAAATGCAGAGCATTATTAAATTAGATTTCAAGACTTACGGTGAGACATCTGCCTTCAGACAAGGTGGTCATTTTTACACAAGTTGGCATAGATGTTTATTTTATGTTTGACTGTTGAAATTAAAACAACTTGCACACAGCATTACAACCCTAAGCACAAGTGTTACATGGCTTTATATGCTGGAGAAGGTGCCACAAATCACCTGTTTTTGTAAAAGCAATTTTATACCTGTGAACTCTCACACATTATGAGTGGCTCTCATGCCTGCGGACTTAAGACATCAATCTAACACATCAAGAACTATTTCTTCTGTATGAGTGACACAAATCCAGAAAAATGGTCCTTTAACACACAATGAATGATGAAAATTCAATTCAATTTCCACAAAAATAATTATTCCAAAAAGGTGCTGAGTAATGACTCTGTGTCCTAACAAAATCAAAACAGGCTAAGATTGTTCATGTTGTCTTTCAAATAGCTTCGGAATTGCTCATAGGTCGTCCAAACGTCTTTGGACATTTTCAGCAATGTTCTGATGTCAGCATAAATCTTCCGAAGTTGATGGGATGTTTCAAAAACCCTGGTCACCGGAAATATGAAAATCTCATGCCTTTGACTCAGAAACCATTGGCAGGTGCCGATTTGTTAAAAGGAATCTCACTGCAAGTCTAGGGTAAGTTCCATAACCACTCACATGCAGTGCTTTCAACCTTCCCGGATAATCCAGGAGACTCCAGATTTTGGACCGTATCTCCCGGTCTCCAGTTTAGGGTCTGATATCTCCCGGATAATCGCCAAAGTTGCTATTTCTTATGGACTCAACTTTCCGACCATAAAATTTCAAATATTTTGCATTGTTTGAGCATACTGTTAGTATGGACTGAAAAATAGTTTTAATACGACTAGGAATACGCAGAAACCTTTTCTATCCTCTTACCAGATCACCATATTTCTTCAGCTGTAATGCCTTGTGATGAGTAGTTTGTATGCGCTCATGTTGTACAAGGGCTAGCACTAATCTCTTTATCAGATCCGTGCGAAGTTTTACGAAGGGATTGATTCTTTTCCTCGTGGGAAATTTTCTGTGAGTTTTGTAGCGTACAGGAATTATGTTTATGCAGGGTAAAACAGATTTCAGGAACACACTTTCGCCGGCAATTCTCCACAAAACAGCGGCCATCTTGAATTTTGCCCCCAACTGGTCGGCCTGGCTACCTAGTATTTTTTAGCAGCAATACCTATGTACAGCGGAGTCGTCAAGCGAAGGTTCTCAAGATGGCGGCCACACGATGTCGAAATCTTGAAAATTTGCTGAAATTTAAGCCTAAAAGCCGGGAAAAGAGAAAGCGCCTTTACAAAAACCTGGTCACCGCTCTTGTACAATATGAAAGAGTGGAGACGACGATAAACAGATGCCATGATTTGTCACGAGTGGCAGAAAGGGTGAGCCTATGTAAAAACTAAAATGAAATATACAATCGGCGACAAAATGAGTTGAGACACTTCGCCCAAAACTGGGCTTTTTTACGTTTTATTAACTTCAAAGGGAGGAAATATAGCTTTCCTCCCCCATCCCCTCCGTGTAATGTTGTGCCCTTGTTCTAGCTACCTGTAGAAAACAACAAACACCCCAACTTTGAATGGAGGGGACAGGGGAGGGGTGCGGATTCTTTTGTTCTCCGAAACTATGAGCAACAAGAACATAATGTAAACTGCTGTTAGTTTGAAAATATATTTCTTCAAAAGTTTGTTACTTTTGCCTAACATGGGGACTGGGGGGTATAGAATGACCACATCAACAAAAACACAGAGTTTTTAAAGTCATACATACACACTGGCCCCACTTGTTCAAATGGTGGATAATTCTATCCACTGAGAAAATCTCCATCTAGTGGATAACACAGTTGGTTTCTCTAGATAGTGATTTGTCCAGTGGACAGCACTATCCCTTTTTTTGAACAAGCGGGGAACTGGTAAGTAAATTTTCATAAATTTCTAGCGATAAATAAAAAATTTCTTACTCCTAGCAGCATCTCCAATGCAATTTTCTTGCATCTTTGCATGTATTCTTTTTCTCCCTGAACTTGAGGTGGAACAACAATCTTTTTACTCATTCTGTTGATTAAGCGCTTCTTGATCATTTTTTCTGCGGCCTCCTTCTCAGTCAGAACCCAACCGTCCTCGATCATATCTAAATCTGGAGGTGGATTTCGTCGCTGCATCAAGGTAATAACCTGAAAATGGTGGAGTTATAGGTATAATGTAAAGAAAAATTTCAATTGCAAAAAATGCAGAGCATTATTAAAGTAGGCATCAAGACTTACAGTGAGAGATCTACCTTTAGACAAGGTGGTCACTTTGCCAAGAGTTGGCATTGATGTTTATTTTATGTTTGACTGTTGAAATTAAAACAACTTGCACACAGCATTACTACCCTGAGCACAAGTATTACATGGCTTTATATGCTGGAGAAGGTGCCACAAATCACCTTTTTTTGTAAAAGCAATTTTATACCTGTGAACTCTCACACATTATGAGTGGCTCTCATGCCTGCGGACTTAAGACATCAGTCTAACACATCGAGAACTATTTCTCCTGCATGAGTGACACAAATGCAGAAAAATCGTCCTTTAACACACAATGAATGATGACAATTCAATTCAATTTCCACAACAATAATTATTCCAAAAAGGAGCTGAATAATGACTCTGTGTCCTAACAAAATCAAAACATGCTAAGATTGTTGTCTTTCAAATAGCTTTGGAATTGCTCATAGGTCGTCCAAAAATATTTGGACATTTTTGGCAAGGTTCTGATGTCAGCATAAATCTTCCAAAGCTGATGGGATATTTTCGGAAACCCCGGTCACAGGCAAGATGAAAATCTCATGCCTTTGACTCAGAAAACATTGGCGGGTGCCGATTTGTTAAAAGGAATATCACTGCAATTCTGGGGTAAGTTCCATAACCACTCACATGCAGTGCTGTCAACTTTCCTGGATAATCCAGGAGACTCCAGATTTTGGACCGTATCTCCCGGTCTCCAGATTGGGGTCTGATATCTCCCAGATAATCGCCAAAGTTGCTATTTCTTGTGGACTCGACTTTCCAACTATAAAATTTCAAATATTTTGCATTGTTTGAGCTACTGTTAGCATGGAACGTTTCCCCATAAATTCTGGTATGCCACTGCAATTTAAGCGATAATGTGGCTAAATATGAACTGTTTATGTGCTATATACATCGATTGGAATCAACGAGCATCTTTGGCACAAATGACATCATTTCTTGTGCAATATGATGTCATCTATCGTTTCTTCCCTATCAATTCTCAACATTTGATGACGTAGGGGGGTTGACAGCCCTGCACATGCAGCTCTGTTTGTAGTTCACCCAGGATAGAGCCAGCCCTGAGAAAGAGATGGCCTGGGTGACATTGGCGAAAAGTTTCTTTATCTGATGTGAGGAAACAACGCAATTAATACGACTAGGAATATGCAGAAACCTTTTCTAGCCTCTTACCAGATCACCATATTTCTTCAGTTGTAATGCCTTGTGATGTGTAGTTTGTATGCGCTCATGTTGTACAAGGGCTAGCACTAATCTCTTTATCAGATCCGTGCGAAGCTTTACGAAGGGATTGATTCTTTTCCTCGTGGGAAATTTTCTGTGAGTTTTGTAGCGTACAGGAATCATGTTTATGCAGGGTAAAACAGATTTCAGGAACACACTCTCGCCAGCAATTCTCCACAAAACAGCAGCCATCTTGAATTTTGCCCCCAACTGGTCGGCCTGGCTACCTAGTATTTTTGGCAGCAATACCTATGTACAGCGGAGTCGTCAAGCGAAGGTTCTCAAGATGGCGGCCACACGATGTCGAAATCTTGAAAATTTGCTGAAATTTAAGCCTAAAAGCAGGGAAAAGAGAAAGCGACTATACAAAAACCTGGTCACCGCTCTTGTACAATATGAAAGAGTGGAGACGACGATAAACAGATGCCATGATTTGTCACGAGTGGCAGAAAGGGTGAGCCCATGTAAAATATATAGCTTTAAAATAGATTTGTATAGGTAATAGCATGATCAGTAGTGATATTTGGCATAAACACCACGAATGATATTTCGAAATTGTTATGCGTGAAATTTGAGACAATTCTGAAATATCACAAATGGTATTTATGTCAAATATCACGTACAACACAGGGAATTTTTGATGATTCCCAAAGTGGGAAAAAAACAGGAAATTGGTGGGGTTTTCTTGGGTTTTGGTTGTAATTTCCCAAATTGGGAAAATGCTACCAAAACCAATATTGGGTTCAAGTAAACCCAATAAAAACCCGCGAATTGGGATTTTAGTGTACCAACTTTAACCCACGAATGGAGTTTTCGCGTCCCATATTTATCCCATTAATGGGATTTTACCAACCCACAAAAACCCCAAAAATGTGATTCAATTGTCCCAGTTGAACCCCAATAGTGGGTTAATACTGGGCCATCTGAAACCCAATGTACGGATTATATTGGAACAGTAATACCCCAACCATGGGTTTTTATTGCCCCAGGTAATCCCCAATTAGTGGTATAAAGTTGGTCCACTTTTATCCCATTAAAGGGATAGTATTGGACCAATTTAAACCCGAGGTATGGGAATATATTGGGATAGTAATACTCCAAAGATGGGTTTTTATTGCCTCAGTTGATCTTCAATAGTGGGATGAAATTGGCCTACATATTTCCTGAATTATGGGATTTTTTTGGTCCAGAATGTCATTGTAATCAATCCAGCAGCCTTTAAAAATATTGGTCCAGTTGTAAAACACAAAATAAAGGTTCGACAATATTAAAATGGTTTACAGTAACATTTATTTTAGATGACAATGCAGGTGTCAATTCAAACTGGTTGATTGTTACTAAACAGGTATTTAATCTGTATCTCTTTATATGTATATATCGTCCAAAAAGTACAATATCATTGAAAAATGTATCATAAAAATATATTAAACTGTTTAACTTAAGTTCATTCATCAATCATAGAGCAATGCCGTTATGCAGAGTCATATTGTCGAAGGCTATTCCGTGCATATATCAAACAGCTCAATTCCTTTATGAACACATCAAATGTCCCTTAAATAACTTCATTTACATGGTTAAGAGCAACACTTATATCAGAACCACTATGGTATTTAGTTATAGCTAAGTCCTACCTGGTAAAAAACAGCGTCAAGTCATAATTATAATAAATGAACCAGTCTCTTGTATAGTTTTTACATAGCGAACATGTCAGAACATTCTTATATTTCCTCTAATACATCGAAGTCTTCGATTTCAATATTCCGCCAGAATATGATTATTCTAAAGGATTCCGTGGACGATTTGCAGCAAAGACCACAGTCATCTGTAGAAACAAACAAGGTGGAAACTTCATCTATAAAAACGAACAAATAGCACCCGACAAGAGACGATCTAGCCTCGTACGATCTCAACGGAGCAACCAAACACGAGTTTCCACACGTACCTTCCTCTTTAATGCGCGATCCAGCTGAGTCATTGTTTAATAGAAGACGATTTTGAAACAAGACAAATGTAAGCAAACCTCACAAGTGAATATTTTGCGTTAAAATCTTTGGATGCATTCATTATAAAGACAATCCGTTTGCAAACCACTGTTGTACTGCACAGAAGTCCGCCTAAAGATTTGAACCAAGAAAACCTGATCTTGTACACATTTCTATTGGTTCAAAAGCCGCACGTGATCGCGCGTCACTAAGCGAAGGCCTGGACGCCAGTTCAAGTACCAAACATGGCGGCAATTCGACGGCACGATGGAGAAGATTCTCTGTCTTTGAAAGCTTTAACTTGTGGTCCGTTTCAGAGTTAAATGCACTTTGCCGACGCTCGCGAAGAGTAAAGCAGTGAGAAGAAAATATTGTATTGTTCTCCCAGGTGAGGGAACCTTTGAAAAAAGGCAGCGGGCCTATTCACAGATGCAGCGAAAAATGTAGTTCGCCGAAAACTCCACGCGAAGCAATCTCATTAATCAGATTGGGCTCGAGTAATTGGGCAAATTTCAGCTCTCAACAGAAGACACCTTGATATCGAGAAAAGTTATGCGCCTAGTGGGATCATTTATAGTTAATTATATTGAAGCGGCTGCATACGATCAAGTGCGTGCACTGAATTACCATACTTTTGGTTTTCAAATAAGCCAACGAAACTTAAACTGTTTTGTTCTAAACTTAGCAGATATGATGTTTATAAAATTAAACTTTTTAAACATTAGTTGTACATTATGTATGTTGGTATTTCAAGAGCAATCTGTCATTTCTTTCAAAACTAAACTCAACATTTGGGAAGATTTACTTGTTACCAAACATTATGTGTATGAAAAATATTATTCTTAATCCTTTTCTGTTTTTGGATTGGAATTTATTCAATATTTCCCATAAAAGAATATAATTATTGGCCTAACCCTTACACTGTAATGCTAACACAAGATTACTGTATAATTTCCCACCCAATATAATAGTCATAAGAATAAAAAATCTAGATTTAATCAAATCCTTTTCCAAGGTGGGGATTTCTTGTCCCTTTCATTCTCCAAAATTGGGAATAACATGCTGCAATATTTCCCAACTTGTGGAAAAATAGCCCCATTATTTTCCCATATTTTGGGAAATAAACCCATTGGTTTCCCAATGTTGGGATCTTGGAATCTATAATGCATATTTTCCCAAACTAAACACAGCATCGGGAAAACGTAACCCTAACTTTTAACCAACCCTTTCCCAAGGTGGGGATTTCTTGTCCCTTGCATTTCCCAAAATTGGGAATAACATGTTGAAATATTTCCCAACTTGTGAAAAAATATTCCCATCATTTTCCCATATTCTGGGGAGAAAACCCATTGGATTCCCAACATTGGTATTTTAAAAAATATTTTGCTTCATTTCCCAAAGTGAACCCAGCATTGGGAAAAATAAACCCGAACTTTTACCAATCATTTCCCATGAGAGGAAAATGTTGTCCCAAACATTTCCCAATAATGGGAAAAATCCCCAACATTTTCCCAGTTTGGGAATTACAAAAAGTTTCCTGTGCAAATCATGCTATTATTTGTTTATACTACTACCCACAAACGGTTTGTAATTTTCACATGTAGGTATTTCAAATTAAGCTGAAATACCACTGCTCTAAGCCAATCAAATTGCAGAAATTTCTCATGTAGTAGTATAAGTATAGGTAATAGCATGATCAGTAGTGATATCTGGCATAAACACCACGAATGATATTTCGAAATTGTTATGCGTGAAATTTGAGACGATTTTGAAATATCACGAGAGGTATTTATGCCAAATATCATGTACAATTCATGCTATGTAATATTTGTTTATACTACTACCCACAAAGGGTTTGTAATTTTCACATGTAGGTTTTTCAAATTAATCTGAAATACCACTGCTCTGAGCCACTCAAATTGCAGAAATTTCTCATGTAGTAGTATATTAGACGGAAGCCACCAGAAAATTGAGTAATTTTAATTTTCAGTAGACAAAAACCTTGTACCAGAATAATTTAAAGTATATTGAATTGTTTTTTACATTTTTTCAAGGGCTAAAGATGTATTTAGTTATCTGTAATAACACCAAAGAAAATTTTTAATGGGAGCCTGAGAAAATGAATGTCAAATTTCGCAAAATGACATTTAAAACATGAAGTTTTCAGAATTTTATGTGTGTTTTCACAATTCTTGCGAAATTTGACATTTTCTTGCACTCTCATGAGAAATTTTCTTTGGTATTATTACAGATGACTAATTACATCTTTACCCCTTGAAAAATGTAAAAAAGAATGCAATATTCTTTAAATTATTCCGGTACAAGTATTTTGTCCACTGAAAATTTAAATAGATCAATTTCCTGGTGAATTCCGTCCTAAGCTTAATGTTGTCTGGGAAGAAGGATATTTATCAAAGCATCACAAAAAGTTTCTGAAAATCTCACTTCATTAGAGCTCCTGTGCCCTATCCTAAAAAAGCTATCAACAGGGCCATAAACTGACTGGGGGGGGGGGGGAAGGGGGGGGAGGGGGGTGGGGCATAATGGCTCAGTCAATTACCACCCCCCCCCCCCCCCCTGGCATTTTTTGGCCGTTTTTTCCCTTCTCAGTCCAGGGGGGGGGGAATTTGTCAGAAAACCTTCGCCCGGGGGGGGGGCTTTTTTCCTTTTTTCTTGAAACATGAGTTTATTCTTTTTTTTTTACTGCTACAGACAACACTGAGATTTAAACAATGTACATAAACGAAGACCTTCCGAAATGACAATAACACTCCACACTTAGTGGCTCACGACGGCCCCAAAAATCCGTGTGTTGAGAGAGGGGGAGATGTTGTGGGGGGGGGGTGAGTGGGGTGATCAAGAGGGTGGGGCATAATGGCTCAGTCAATTACCATCCTCCCCTCCACCCCTGGCATTTGTTGGTCATTTGTTACCTTGTCAGTCCAGGTGGTGGGGAATTTGTCAGAAAACCTCTGCCCAGGGGTGGGGCATTTTTCCATTTTTCTAGAAACAGCATTGTTCCTTTTTCAATAGTTCACTCAAAATATGCCCATTTAGAAAGCTATTGGTATTCTATAAAGCAGATTTTATGTGTGGTTTTGCTCCATCACACTTGGGCACACTTGGAATTGACTGAGCCATAACCTGGTCCAGGAGGTTGAAATTTTCTATTCTGTGGTTTTTTTCTGCAGGAAGGAAATTTTGGCAGGTATTTTTTGGGTGCCTTGATTTAAATAGGGAATAAGTTTGGGGGTATTCAAAACAGTCTGAACATTGGTGTTGTACTGGGCGTGTATGCCAGCCACGTAGCACTAGACTTAAGGCTCAAAGAGTTTGTTTTTTGGTTCCAGATGATTGACCTTGCTAAACAAGGAAATGAAGAAACAATAAACAGCTGGATAACAGTGAGTAAATTTTTTAGATTCCCTATGGCGTCAATTTGCACTATAATTGCATTCAGGGCCTAGCCTCCTCCAGACACTCACATAGCGTAAACTAACATGGGGATGAGGCTGGTGTGTGTTTAACCCTTTAAACCCTAAGATCAAAATTTGAATTCTCATTTGTTGCCCCTATTCATTTCCTACAGAAGTAGTTGGGAGAAGTTGAAAAAATATCAAGCAAATTCATCTTGTGTGATCATGTCTGTAATTCTCATGACCACTCTGTTTAACAAAGCACTGATATTACAAGGAGAAATTTGATGCTGATCACTGTTAGGGCTGAAGGGGTGAATACAGGTCTATTTTACAGAAAATATGGGAGGACTTGTGTCTGCTTAATATGGGTTCGTCTTGACACAGGAATTTTTTTTTGTGATCTTCTAGAAAAAAGAGTTGATCCCCAAAGTGTTTGGCCACCTTTTGCCTCGTTATGAAGACAAGGTGAGTGGGTACACAAAGGTGTACAAAATACCACCACGCAAAACAGATACTGCCAAGATGGGAATTGTGGAATTTGTTGGAAATGAACTTCCTCCTCTACTGCCGTCAGATGATGAACTAAGAAAACTCCGACTAGAAAAACTGAGAGACATGAGTAGAAAAGGAATTCCTATCAATGGAACACCTGTGTGATTAGAAGTGATAAGTTGATTCAAAGTTTTGTACGAGGATGTTCGCTGTTAGCACAGTGATAAGATCTTGTGATCTTTTTTTACAATGGAGAAGCTGAGTGTTGGTTCAAAAGACATTTTATCCAAAAATGTTCCCTTAATTCTCTCAAGGAATCATACTTTTGCCAAGATTCATCACTTCAATCTACAATTTTTATGTACAATCGGTGGGCTTATATAAGTGATTTCTGAAAAATGAATTCAATCATCTATCTATGTGAATACGCTTATTGCTGCACGTATTTTGCGTCCTGTAAAAATATCAGCCATCCCTTCCCCACTAAAATCAAGGACTGACTTAGCAACTTAACAAGAGACATCATCAAGTATTATGAAAGGCCTTAGAGATTTGAAAAAGTTATTAAATATTTTGAAAGCCTTTCTTCATTAAGGCCTGTTTACTTTGACTCATCAACGCCAAAGTACTCTTTATGGAGATGACATTAAGAGCTTGTGAGTGCAGTTCAGTTTTGATTTTCCCCTCTTAAAACGGCTAAGTGATAAAAGATTTTTTAAAAACATTGGACAAGCACTTTCATTGACTTTTTCGTTAAAAAGTAAAGGTATATTTAGCCCAACATATGAAACTAAAGAGCATACAAGTAGTTACTTGCGTTATTAACGCCGAAAAGGAATTTAATTTAAAAAGTGCCGTACATATGACTGTAATGTTTGTTTTTCTGAACTGTGTTAATTGCTGTCTGAAAGCTGATGTACTTGCTTTCAATACTTTGAATTTTATAAGCCAACATCAGACCTCGTTTGAAATGAGAGTGAACACATAATTATAGTCCAAAACCTTTAACGACGATGTCGCCCTTACACCTAACAGGTTGTTAAAAAAATTCAACAAAGAAAGCGAAAAAAAGTCATATAATTACACAAACTTTGGAAAACCCGTTATGCCCAAAAATTAAGCTAAAACGTCCCAAATTATCTGAGAAAACAAAATTATTTTGCTTTGCTTTGTATTTTTTTTATATTTTGAACGTTAAATATACTGTGAAAAAGCCCAACCCATTTGTTTCAACTGATACAAAAATGATAAAAATTTCGTCACGCAGTTCCAATCGAACACTTTCATGTATACTTAACATTAAATTGGTAAGATGGCCTCGATAATTAAAATTTTTTGCCAGAAATTGCACGCAAATGAAGAACGCCGTGTTTAATTCCGGTTTGTAGGTGACAAAAACTGCCTGTGGTAGTTGCTCATTTGTTTTCTTTGTCGGTCGACTCCATTAGTTTGAAGTGTATTCAACAATAACAACAGGTGCAAGAGTCTATTTCATGAGAGGGCTTCAGATGGCTTCCGGACACCTCCAAACCCGTGTTTTTATAAGCAAAAAAAAAACGTTTACTATTCGTTTACTTAAAACCCCAGCCAAGTTTACAAAGAAAACCAAACAAAAAGCCTTCCAAACATCTTTACTTGTCATCACATTTGAGTTAAAAAGTGGCGTCTAGAAAAAAAACGTCAAAGTTATAATCCCAATCAAGTCTTTTCCTCAGGCTTGATCGATGATCTCTAAATAATTTTCCGACGAGATTTAAGAGCTTTGGCGATAAAGAAGACCTTATTTGCCAAGAGACTTTTAAGCTAGTAGATTTACACCGCTGGAAAGAAAACGGGCCATGATGAAAGACAATTCAAGTTCCCTCGACGAGTGTTTTAACGAGGGTTATGTTATTTCCTTAACGGCGTTGCTCCCTGTTCTGAGTTTGTCGATTTTTTCTGGTGTGGCAGCCGTGTTTCTTAACGTTTTAGTCATCTGGGCGATCTACCGAAACTCTATCCTTCGCTGCATAACAAATTACTGGATCATTTCTCTCGCCGTAGCAGATTTACTGGTTGGTATTTTGGGCGTGCCCGTGTGGTGCTTAAAGCTTCTCCATAAAGCGCGAATTATCAAAGTTAATGTTCATAATATCTTCACCTGTATTCTTGTACTGACGCTGGTTTCGTCATCTTTGAACCTTTTGGCTCTTAGCTTTGATCGGTTTATTGGCGTAACATCTCCATTTCGCTACCCGGCTCTTTTAACTCAGGAAAGATGTCGAAAAGGTATCGCAGTTATATGGGCTTTATCCGTTTTGGCGGCAATCGCCTCATTGCGAAGCAAATGCATTGTCAATGCAGATGGCCACCTTCTACTTTTCGCCGTGATCATCGGAGCACCCTCCATTTTTATCTGTTATTTTTATTTTCGTATCTTTAAAGAAGCCATGAGACAAAAAAGATTGATCATGGTGCAGCAGCAATCCAGTTCCGGTCAGCCACGTTTCGTTAAAGAAAGCAAAGCGGCGATGACAGTTGCCATGGTGATTGGATCATTTGCTCTTTGTTGGTTTCCAAGTTTGATTGACGCTGTCATTCATCTTGTAGCTCCCTCATTTTGGCGAAACACTCAATTATATCTCGGAACGACGCCATTAGCTTGTTTTTCGTCTGTTGTAAATCCCATTCTATACTCGGTCAGGAATAAAACTTTTCGCAACTCTTTTCGAAGTGTTTTTATGACCACAAGAGTTTGTCCGCGGAATGTGGTAACTGACGTTTGTGAGACACAGCTGAAAGTCTCAATGGGCTAGTGGTTTTTACAGTCAAAGGCTTATTTTTTAGTTTTTCCAAGAATGACGGCTTATGTCTTTCCGTTACGGTAAACAAGTCTAAAAAAATAAGTCTTAAAAGCTCGTGTGGTTATAATCTCCTGTGGAAAAATTAAAATCTGGAACTGTATTGTAACGGCAATGACCTAGTGTTCAAAATATAAATGACCCGTAAGGTATACTTATAACAAAATTGGTAATTTTCACCTTAAAGACAGCAAAATCGTTTGAAAGGAGGGAACACTGAAAATTAATGGACGCCCAAGTCGTCTGATTTTGTCCGCCTGTAAACTTTTCGACGATTATCCATGGTGCTGATCTGTTCGTTCAGACTGACAAGTGGAGCAAAGCCCGACTTCAATTCACACAAGATGAGCAAATGTTTGACGATTTGCCCACCTTCTGATGGCAACCAGCCATTCAAAACAAATACTTCAAAGGAAAATGGCAAACTGGCATTCCTATCGGGCAGAAAGATCTCTTGGCTATTTTACAAGCAGCATAGATCCCACCAGCACGAAAGAAAAGAATGACAAAGTTGCAGCTGAGGGTTATGAATCCGGAGTTTCCGGATGTTAAGACTGTTGCCAGAAGCGGTCTTGGACGCTGATACAAGTTGCACGTGATGTAAATTACTGTCAACAGGGGATCAAAACTTTCGGCAAACCTTATTGCGTAACTTTGCTTTGAAACAGATGGAGAGCGCGCTATAGAGCCGAACAGAATTAAACCGCCTTCATGTAGAATGAAATAAGTAAATAAATCACAATGGTGGTGGTGGTGGTGGTCAAATGGATGGTGATGACGATGACGACGATAACAACTATGATGGTGATGATGATGGTGGTGATGGTGATGATCAGAAGTCTGTGATCATGCTGATGATGGTGATGATGTTGATGATGATGTTGATGTTGTTGTTGTTGTTGTTGTTGTTGTTGGTGGTGGTGGTGGTGGTGATGGTCATGTTGATGGTGATTATGATGGTGATGATGATGATGATGATGATGATGATGATGATGATGATGTTGATGATGACGTTGATGTTGATGATGGTGGTGGTGGTGGTGGTGGTGATGGTCATGTTGATGATGATTATGATGGTGACGATGATGATGATGATGATGATGATGATGATGATGATGATGATGATGATGATGTAAGAGAAGATACAGGGGATAAAGTTGTAATGATATGATATTCATTTGGAGACCATCATCTTATATTGCACTTCTAGTGAAAAGAGATGCCAGTATCAAAGGTTCGACATGCAAAGTCCAAGCCTTTTCCTTTCAACCCCTCTCCCGTCTGAATGTATAATAAGTAAGTACACTAAGTTTAACTAAAAATAAATCAACTTTATTGTCCTCAATAGCGTTCTGCCTTTCTGTTACTACTGTGTAATTTCAACTGTTTGCTGGTGACCCCGACCGCATAACATGAACTTCTCTTGAACGTGAATGTTGTAGTTAATTTTTTATCTCAGGTAATTTCTGTTTTTCTTTTGCTTCAACTTGATCAGCATACATTATCATACCCAAAAACAAAAGAAAAACAAAAATTACCTGAGGTAAAAATTAACTACAATCCTAACCCTAAACATCGAGTCTTGTATTTTTCACTCTTCCTGTTATTTCCTTGTGTGTTCTTTAGTTCCATCGCAGCCATTAGCATTGATGGCCTTTTTCTTTATAATCCTGGATTAATACTTCTTCGCTGCGTCTTCGTTTTTGTGGTTTTCAGTGTGGTTGTTACAATGTTTGTTGCTTTTTCAGTTGCTCATTATTTAAGAAAGCTCATGCAAGCTCATGCAAGCTCCTGGCGCCATGTAAATGAGTTCAATGCCTTTGTTTTAAGTGTGACGGCGTTTGGAAATTACCGCAAGCCCCTCTGCGAAATCATCTTTTTCTTCGTTTACTTTCTTTTTGATTTGAACGGAACTGCCTTTTTGCCTGAAAAGAAAAGGACGGAGTGAGGAAAACGTACTATGGGGAGCAAGGGTGGCGCAGTGGTGAGAGCGCTCGCCTACCACCAATGTGGCCCGGGTTCAAATCCCGGCGTCAATGCCATATGTGGGTTGAGTTTGTTGTTGGTTCTCTCCTTTGCTCCGAGAGGTTTTTCTCCGGGTACTCCGGTTTTCCCCTCTTCTCAAAAACCAGCATTTCCAAATTCCAATTCGACCAGGAATTAGGTAGACGAAGAACCGATGTGCTACCTCCAAATCATTATTATTTATTTATTTATTTATTATTTATTCATCTATGGGTAACTTGTACCTTTCAAGCCCTTCGATATCATTTAACGACATTGACACATTTTTTAACCCGCGATATCAGGAATGCCGGGCTACCCCGCTGCTGCTACCAGCTCCAACATTTGACTTTCTCATACTTACTTGTACATACTTCCTTAATTTCAGACCCCATTGTTCAAAAGTCAGATGGTTCTGTCCCCTGATAATTCCGCCAATGAGGGGCTTATGCAACGACAACGGCGACTGCTACGAAGACGTCACTTTAAAAGTGCGGAATTCGCGCTGTCTCAAACTTAATCGCGCTCTACTCCATCTCGTTTAATTCGTCAAATGTTGGCAAATTTCTTTGGAGTTGTATTCTAAAGGATTGTATCAAAGTTCAGGAAAAGAAAAGGAAAATTGTTGTTTTGTGTTCCCGTCCGCGACAAAACGTGAAATTAGACACTTTCACGTTGTAGTCGTGCAACGACGGCAAAGAAATGTACAAAAAAAGCGTGATGCACGTGCAAAGTTGTTATTTTGCCAATCTAAACCTATCGGTTTTTTGTTTCGTTATTTTTACGATCCGACGACGCGACGGCAACGAGAACGTCCAAAACAACAATAGATCTAGTAGGCAAAACAACAAATTTGCACGTACATCTCACTTTTTTGTACATTTCATAGCCGTTTTTGCACGACTACGACGTGAAATTGCCTAATTTCACTTTTTCTGGGGAACGTAAACAGGCCACGACGAAATGTTATTCTCTTTCCAAACTTGAATATAGCTCTTAGAAATTCAACTCCGGGAGGGTTCGCCTACATTTGACAAAGTAAGTGAGTTGGAATAATAGCGATAAAGACCGAAAGAACGCAAATTCATTTTTGACGCGACGTTTTCGCTGCCTTCGCGTCGTCCTATCGTAAAGTCCCTACTATCCAGCGGAGAGCGCCCTTGGTTGTCGTAACACTAGCTTAACACCCATCGACATAAAACTCTTCGCGCTATCCACTGGATAGAGATTTATCCGGTGGATAGCGCTATCCTACGTTTGAGCAACCGTGGCCAGGTGGGTAGTGTTATTTGAAAAACTGGGACCTGACCCTCTTCCGTATTCGAACACCGCGCGACTGTTGTCATGGTAATGAAAATCTGTTCCCCGGCGCTCTTTGTTGTGGCAACTGAAGACGACACGGGTACTAGTGGATAGCTTTCGGGTGATATCTTACTTGTGCTGCCTACTCTACACAGCAGCCCTTCCGAAACATTTCCTATTTTGCTACTCAAAAGCAAGCGCTGCCATTGGCTTCTTTGAGGTAACATATGAAGTCTAGCAATGAAACTATTTCCCGCAAAACTCTCTGAGCAGGTAAAGTAACTTATTAGTAGCAGTGTACTTTCAACCGCAAAAGTTGATGGCGGCCAATTGACTTTTGTAATAGAACTACTGATAGCTTTGTTGAGTTGTAAGAAATCACTTTTTAATGGTCACTTGTTAAGGGCCCTTCGGGAAACCGGCTAATCTTGTTAACTTCGAGAAAATCGAAATTCTTTTCCCTCAGAACTAGTCATTAAGCTGTAAATATCTACCTGCTCACTCGTTCGCACCACTTTAGGGATATCCCCTTCACGGTTAGCAATGTTAACGTTAGCGCCATGCGTCATTAAAAGCTTCGCCATGTCGTCCATTTCGCGCCCGCTTGCCGTGTGAAGTGGCGTGTTTCCAGCGAATGTAACTTTATTTACGTCAGCGCCACGTGTTATCAAGTACTCTACCACGGGATACTTTCCAGCTTCCACTGCGTGGTGTAATGAAGTGCGGCCACTGTTGGAATCCTGAGTTTATAAAGAGCAATGTTAAAAAGTTGATTCTCAAAATTTCTCAAACTCATCGTGACATTTCTTGATATCTGACGAAAAAATTCTCGTTTTGCATCTTTAATTTCTCATCTAGAACGACTTTCTTCGAAAAAGTTGCATCAAACACTTGACACATTTGTTTTAATACAATATCAAACACCTTAAACTGCGTCAAAAAATCATATACTCCACGCCTCGCGTTTTCAGCTCTCTTTATTCGCTTTGATATTTGATGAAACACTGCTTCTCGTGTTTGATATTTACTTTTAGCCTGCTTAGAGAGTTTTTTCCAAATATAGAAAGTAAAAATCCGCCTTCCGCATTCTGTTCCAGTGAGTAATGAAACGGACGAAGTCGAGGCTTATAGTGGCGATAGAATAACTTCAATATTATCTGGCTCTGAAGCTTAAGGGAATAAAACAAAAGAAATCACCCTGAGATGAATAATAAATTCCTTTTCTCTTACTACCTAAACCTTGAGTTAAAACTGGCTTGTTTTGGAATGCATTCTCAGAAATTTTTTTCCTCCACTCTGTTTTGGCAAATAAATATGATATAATACTGACCTGCTGGTTAATATCAGCTCCCATATCAAGGATGGTTCCTATCAACTTTTTGCTGCCCTTTAAAATGGCGACATGGAGGACTGTCAAACCTGCAAAGAAGAAAAGGTCAATATCCTTTATTAATATTGGTAAATATCCTTTATTAATATTGGTAAATATCCTTTATTAATATTAGCCAAGTTCTTTTTTTGGCCTTTTAGTCACCTTTTATGGACCGTGTATTCTCGTTCCCACAGCCCGTCGTTTCTTGGTCACGTGATCTTGAAACGAGAGGCCTCTGAAGACCACTGGTCCGTTAACAATTAAGCCGAGTAGCTCTGGGGACGAGAATGTGGACCGTGACAAGTCGAAGTCATTGGCCCTTAACCATAGGTCCTTTTACGGAACTTGGTCGCGTGCCTGGATACCACTTAGCAACGGCTCGATGGCTAGCTGGCGAGGCACCCAAGCGTTCATTCTGATCACAAAGCTTTGAATGCGATCGAGTGAAGCATTTCTAGTTTCATTGTTCTGTTTGAAAATTAATCGAAATGACTACCTCTAGGGCTTAAAAGACGTTTGAATTAAACAAGCAAGGCTTTGCCCGATCGTACTCAAAACTTTGTGATCTTAATGAACGCTTGAATGCCTTTTCATCCAGCTAGCCTTTGCTAAATTGTATCCAAGCCGAGTGACCAGTTCTGCAAAGGACAACTAAAAACGCCAAAAAAAGCTCGAGGCCGATCAGTATACACGCGGGTCTACTCGACTAGCAGACGTCCCTTCCACGTGTTACGTCACAACTCAAACTAGTGTAGTTATATTAAATTTTCGACCCTACTCGCCATAGAACCCCCGTAACTCAGTGGCTAGAGCATCCGAACTTGCCCTCAGAGGGTCGTGAGTTCGATTCTCACCTCAAGCTCGGAATTCTTTTCGGAGCTTTCTGCAGTGTTAGAAATCTCCTTCTTGAACTACCTACCTTGAGAATTTTTCAAGTCCAACCTCAGTTTGACGCGGCTTATCTGGCTGGCATCACGGATGACATAAACACAGTTCAGGTCATCTTCTTGACATGCCAAATGTAAAGCGGTCTGACCATGTCTGTCCATAAGATTAACATCAGCTCCGCATTCTATAAGTTTTCGTACTATGTATAATTGGTGCGTTATTACGGCAAGATGAAGTGGTGTCTAGAAGAACAAGTATCAAGGTAATCGTTACACTAGCCTGCGAGCAAGCTTTCCTATTTGGGCAAGCAAGCCGTGCGAGAACGCGCGAGCGAGCGGCGAAGCCACGAGGGGCAGAGGGGCTTTCGCGTCTCCTCTAGCGTGCCTCTCGCGAGTCTACTTTGCTCGCAGGCTATACTGTAGTTACACTAGGAATTTATGCCTTTTTTCTAATGAAACGATTTTTTAAAATGTTTTGCAATCAAACACAACAATATCCTTTTGACTTAAGTACGTTCACGCGGACCCTGTGAATTTTCGACCAGTTAAAAAATTTGACCAGTCGCCTCCATCACACGGGACCGTTCGATATTTTCGCTCCGTTCACACGGAACTTTGAACGGCTGGGCGGCTAAAGTTTCGTACGGATAAGCCGGTTCTGAGTGAACGAAACAAATAAACGCACGAATTTTCCGATGCCGTGTGAAAGTAGCCTTAAATATCCGATGCTAAGTTCAGTGAACTAAGTGCAAATAGGTGGCAAAATGCACGGATGTATTTGTACCTGTCTAAGCTTGTTATAAATATCAACTCCCCTAGACTTCATTTTTTGTATGAAAAATTCGGTCAGCGGTTGGTCTCCCTGGACAACAGCTATGTGAAGAAACCTGGAAGAAAAGAAGAAAATAACTCTGACACCCAGATCTTTTTGCGACAGTTTCCATAACCTGAATCTTAGAAACTCAGATACCGTAAAATTCCGAAAATAAGCCCCTCCAAATATAAGCCCCCCAAACCGGTAACGCGAAAACCCTCCGTTAAATCGCCCCTCCAAATATAAGCTCCCCAGGGGCTTGTACGTGGAAAATTGCCCGCAAATACAAAGTAAAACAAAGCAAACAACGGTAAATTTACTTCCAACTATAAGGTTAGCCCAATCGATTTTGAAACGCAAATTTCCCTCCATAGATAAACCCCTCCGAATATAAGCCTCTCCAAAAATAAACCCCTCAAAAAGGGCCTTTGAAAAATATAAGCCCCGGGGCTTATTTTCGGAATTTTACGGTATTCCGGGTCGCCGTGGTTACTCATGATCACTTTGAACCGTCTGAGAATGTACATGCCCACATGCGCATTGTCCCAGTCATTATACATCGTCAGTTCCTGGAATTGCTTGCTCCGAGCATAGACATGATAAAGACTGACAGGAAGTTATTACGATTGGCTGTTTGGATTTTGATTTCCGCATTTTATCTCCTCTTAGCATTACTGACAGCGTGTCTTACATCACAATGTTTTTTCTACTACTTTCCATAAGAATGACCACGAATATTATTATATCAGGACTATGTTATACAACAAAAACGTCACCGTGGGTTTCTCATACAAGAATGATATACTATAGAGGAAATTTAAAATGTTTAAATATGAGCGTTTAGAAATCAGATAAAAAACCGCTCATTTTTGCATCCTTAATTTCTCCTGCTAAAATCATTTTGTTTGAGAAGAAATATCAAGCATTCGACACGTGTTTCATCACCAGATGTGAATACGTCGAAGTTTGTCAAACATACTCCGCTGCGCGCACGTCGTATTTTCAACTCTCTTCTCGGTGTTTCATCTGGTGATGAAACACTGCGTCTCATGCTTGNGTATTTTCAACTCTCTTCTCGGTGTTTCATCTGGTGATGAAACACTGCGTCTCATGCTTGATAAATTACATGATGGAAAGTCGTCTTATTTTCTTAACTTAACCAATCATTCATTTTTGAACTATATGACTTATTATTTCAGACATCACACATTGCTATTGACCATAGAATTCAACCCTCGCTTGAATTTTTTTTTTTCGATTTTTCCCTCATCGAAATCGGTGAAGCCTAAGTTCGATGATATACTTCTGGTTTAAACCATTAACCCTGGTTTGAACCTGTTTCCCAAGTTAGATCATACGTAACCAAATCATTGAATTACACATGAACGGTTCCAAGCCATCTCTTTCGCCTCTCGGGCAGCTGAAGTTAGACTAATATTAAAAGTTCTATGAAATCAGCTTCTTTGAATGTTAAAGTTTCCCCGCTTTTCTTTATTCAATGAATGTTGTTTTGTACAGTGGAACCTCGATATAACGAACTTCTAAAGAACAAAGTCCTCGGTATAACCAATATAACGAACGATTTTCTTTACCCCAGTAATAGTAAAGTATATAAAAAAGAACCTTGATATAACGAAACCTCGGTATAGCGAACAAATTTTGCCAGTCCGGCCTTTGCCCTTCGTTATATCGAGATTTTACTGTATCAACCAAAAAGGCAAGACTTCCCAAACATGCGTCGCGTAGGTTACGATACGCTTTATCGCATTAGGCGCCCCTGATAGACGTCTTGAGACGTCTAAACTGAATCAGTAGAAGAATGCATTACTGCATGTTGGTGCTGGTTCAGACAACATTTACAACAGATTTTTTTTGCGTTTGTATGCATATAACAGTCAGTAACACCTTAAAAATGCAATCACAGCAGAACATCATGTGGTGATGTGATGTAAGCAATTTTTATAGCTGCGTTTCTCGTGGGTGGGACGCTATTAGCAGCAGAGAGCCGGTATACTTTCCTAGGCGACCGTAGTCAAAGATGCTAATGATGAAATTGTAGGTTTGCGAGTTGTTGGTGTTGTAACCCGGGATAAAACATCATTAGAGAACTTAAGCTCAGAGGTTAATAACAAATTCCGGGTGGAAACCACCGCGGAAATATAGCTCAATTTAAAAAAAATTGCGTTGGCGAGCCTTCTCAAGGTTGAAATTTGGGTAACATGTAGTATGCAATCATGATAAGTGGAAAAGTACAAAAATCCCCAAATAAAAGAAACTTATGTCTTACGTATCTCCATCTTCATCCTGGCCAAATAAATCAGGCATGGGTGTTGTTTCCGCCACCGTCCGCACACAATCCCCAACTTGCCCTTCAGCAGCTGAAGTCGAAACAGTTTCTTGTGGTTTTCGCTCAAGCGATTCTGCTGAAATATAGCCCGATGAAGAAGATGCTAGAGAGGTTGTCCTTTGTATGTCTTGGACATCGGATTCTTCATGTTCGATGGCAATTTTTTTGTGACTGCTTCCGCTTTCAATTTCATTCGGACTTGATAGCTCTTGTAACTCCGACTGTCTTATTCGCCAGTGATCGGACTTTTCCGTCGTTTCTTCGGTCACGCAAGACTTCGCGGGAGGTAGTTTGTTAATGCCAAGCGTGGGACTGGATTTATTATCTTCTTCTATCTCTTCCAAACTCGCTCCCTTTGCTGTCCTTGAATGTCCTTTGCGACGTTTTCGATTGCCGTCTTTAAAGCAATTAGACGTTACAGCAGCTTTTTTTACTATTCTTACAATTTAGGCGACAAAGGAATGAACGCCAGATCCACGCCAAACGCGCATTATCAATAATGAAAAAAAAAAAACCACTCACCAGCCATAAATCTATTAACTCTGAATTTCTGTAACCACTATCGGCGATCCTTTCTTCCCGCATTTCACTCATCGGACAACAAAGTTTCATATCTCAGGCTCGACTGTGTAGTTCCCACTTTGAACAGACATGTTTTACGTTCCTGATAAACAGCATATGCATCACTAGTATTTGAGTGACAGACGATGCTAATCACTCCATCGTGATCAGCTTGTCCAATCAGGAGCCTCTACGCAGATGGGGTTTTCCCCCCCAAACAAAAAATAATCTATTCAATCACAAATTAACCTAGCGCGCATAAATATACGACATTAAAAATATAGCGATTTAAAGCCAATGGTTTACCATCAGCACAATGGTATCCATCTGAACAAAGTGATTTTTCATTTTGCGAGATCCGTGACCATACCCGCACTGCAAAAAGTGTATCTATCACAATTCTAACCCTGTTAGTATAATTCCTTGGCAGTAAAGACTCAAAACTCGACACCTTTAGCGCTGTTTGTCCTGGTTATTAACAGCAGCATGCCACCATTTTTTATCTCTTAGCGATATGGGCTTGTGGCTATTAAAGTAGCTTAGAATAATATGTTAATATTTTTTTCCCTGTCCTTTACGGTACGAGACTGAAGCCGAGATATTGCCAGAGAAAACTAGAGAAGTATGATTGGCAACCCCTGAGGAGTCATAATACCGGGCTGTTTGTTAGCTACAAAAATTTTGCATCGTAATAGCCCAGCAGATATGAAAAAAGGACATGAAGGCCAAAAGTTGTTGTTAGCTTCAGCAAGCTGTGCCTTCAATAGTGCCAGTTTTGTATAAAACCATTACTTTAAATTTATACATTATCGTTAAAATGACTTGCTCCATTCTATAGCTCAATTCTGGCTTGCTTTTCCAGCTGCAACCAACTGTCCGAGGCAAGCGTCCAATAAAACGCATGAAAGCGAAACAACTAGTTGCCATAAACAAAGTCACGCCATCAACCGTGACGCGTCACTCACGAAGAGGCTTTTATCGACTTTGACTCGCTTTCAAGTTACTATTGCAGCTACAGCTCCGTCGAAAGAAGTTTATGGTTAATGAAAGCTATAACATAATTTTTGCGTGAAGGCATATCTTCATCAGAAAGCAATGACCCCGACCTGTCCCCCCTGTCCCACGAATTCCCTCTCAGATTCTCTCTTTTCCAGTTCCCTCTCGCATCTCAGACCAAAAAATGGCGGCTTAGAGCGGTTGTGCGTTTGAGATCAGCAGCAATTGGTAAGAATTCTTTATAATGGCTCGTTGAAAATGCATATCTGCAGTGAAAAACACAGAAATAGGTCGTTTAGGGGCAACTACAGAATACAGGGCCATATTTTACGGTCGTAAACAGAAGTCCCACAGCAGCTTCGGGTTTGCTTGCTTCATGTAAATTTCAGATAAGAGGATAAAGTCATCTTTTCAAAGCGCGCTAGCCCTGTAAATAAGCCCAGCCCAGCCTATGTAATCATTGTGTAGATTTAGAGTAAGAAGATGGTGGCTTTTAGGGGCGTAGTTAGGATTTTTTTAAAGGAGAGGTCACCCTTATGGTACTACGTAATGGATTGGCATCTCGACATCCACGCCGTGTTTTACTAAAAGTGATATTTTTTTGGATGAGCAGTGAACGTGGGGGGAGGGACAAGCCCACAAAAATAGCTGCATAGATGAATCAAGTTCCATGTAACATAAATTACTCTACCGGTGAATCAACGGCCTTGTATTCACGCAGTGAGAAGGATCAAATATGTTGTCTGTATAAACCAATGGCTGCTTAACTGCTTTGACCTTCATAGACTGTGAGAAGTCTCTTAGTTTTCTCTTGAGTCAAGAGATTGAGAGCACATGTAAGGGCCGTGCGGCGAAGCTAAGAGAAATGAGGGCGGAAGCCCGAGCAAAGAAAAAACAATAGAAACAGTGATGAGATCTTTGATCTCCATATTGCTTTTTTCCTGTAAACAAACAGTTTCCGTTTCACTGAAACGGTAATTCAAAATCCAAAAAGACCTCTGCAGTTGTCCTATTTCCTCTCTCTGCCCCAATCTCTACTCTTTTTTCCCCATTCATTTGCATTATTTCACTTTTTCACTCGCTGCACTTGGCAGTTAGGAAAGAAGGAGGACCTCTTGTGGTCTATGACTTTCATAATTTTAGTTATGAACAGGAACATGGTCCACTGCAGATGTTATTAATGTGATTGCCGCCCCCCCCCTTTTTAAAATTTGTGAGATAATTATTATCTCACAAATTTTAAAAAGGGGGGGGGGCAATCACGGGCAATACAGAACAACCCCCCTAGCTATGCCCCTGGCTCTTTTTATGGGCTTAAGCCCTGTACATTGTCTTCTGTTATAGGCTTTGTTGTGACACATGCATGAGCACATCAAAATGGAGGTTAATGGAAACTCAGCTGATGTACCATCAGATGCCATCAATATCATTGTTGAATTTGCCCAGTCAAGTTCCGAGGGAGACAAAGAAAATGGAGATATTCTAAATAGCAGTGATGATGTGGCAGTGCATGTGTTTCAAATCTCATCAGAACTTCTCAATTCATCTCAATCACAAGTGTCGGTAATGAGTGATGCAGAGGCTACAAGCAGTAGGTCGCAAAGGGCTTCGCACATTGATGTCATTAAAAGACTGAAAAGTCATCAGAACAAGCAAAAGACATTACAAGCATCAAAATCAAAATCATTTCCACCAGCAGGACCTTTACCTTCATTTACCTCTCCACAACTGCCAGTGGTCGCAAGAGAGTTACAATTCCATAGTGATGAAGTCGTCAATTGCCAAACGCAAGTTAATAAGACAAACAGAAAGCGAAATATAACCAACGCTGCTCCTGTGGAGAGTTTAGTTCAGGGATCAACAGTTGAAATGAGGCCTGGTCAGATCACCAGTTCTACAAAATTAGCTCTTCAGACTTTCCTGAAAAAGAAAGCTGCTGGTATTGCTAATGGTGTAAGTGTTGAAGGAAACAAAAATACAACAGAGCCTGAAGTACAAATTACTTCACCTGATGAAGAAGCTGGGGCCCGTGATGACCAATTACACTCAAATCAGGCTGCAAATAAAGATAAGGATCTGACTGAGGTATCACCACCTTTAGAGAGCGTAAATGAAAATGGAATGGGAATGGCTGGTGTTTCTGAGTCACTTACTACAAATTCACTGGAGTCTGCACAGGAATCCCAGAAAAAAAAGAAAAAGAAAAGAAAGAAAGAAATGATGTCAACAACTGTTCAAAGTAAAAATTTCATTACACCATCAACCCAACAGTCAGATATTGAACAGCCTAGTGGAGAAACTGGTGTCACTTTGAACCAAGTGGTATCAACCCCTGTTGTTCAAGAAGTGGATGTTGTTGTGTTGCCATTAAATCTTGAGTCTGATAATTCTGAACAAGGGATTAAACCACAAAAGAAAAAAAAGAAGAAAAAAACAGGTAACACTGAAAACATTTTGCTTTTAAATCTGAAGGTAATGTAATGTGGCATCAAAAGTTAGAAAAAATTAGTATGGTTATAACAATCCAGAGGTAATCTGTCCTCAAGAGATGCACGAGTCTGATTACTGCCATGCATTGGTCCAACAACATTATTTCATTGGTACAACGATTCATGTGTGCCTTAGGTAGATTTTTTTTCATCTGAAAAATGATGGTCCGTGGTGTTGTCTTTGTCTCAACATAATGTTCGACCCTGTGGTCGAAAGTGATGTTGTTAATTATTAAGATTTTATCAGACCTGTGAGGCTGTGCTCTAGCTGCACCTGATGGCCCTTGGTACCTACCTTTTTCTCCCAGCTGACCAGAAAATCTTAGTTTTTCTTAAAAGTATTAGCCAGGGCACTCTAGCTTTGACAGGTTCAAAGTATTGTGATCCCTTTTTTTAGAGTACAGCAATGGACATTTTAAATCAGATTTTGTCCCGCGATCGACTCTATATGCAGCTCTGATTAGGCTTGAACCTGGGTCAGAGTGACAAAAGGCAAAAATGCTCTCACTAGTATGTCACCGTTACTCCCCTATAGAGTCTTAAAGTGTGACGTCATAATAAACTAAATCTGTGAAATTATGGGATTTGTCGAGATATTATTAATGAAAGAACAAGATCCCAAAGGTCTACTTTCCAAACATAAGCGTTCCAGGGCAAATTGTCTTTGAGATAATAGCCCAGTTATGCTCTGATGACTCCATGCAAATCCTTCTAAATTTGACTCAGTTCATAACATTAAGAAGCAAGTCAAATTTAGGAGAATTTGTATGGAGTCATCAGAGCAAAATGGGACTAGTAACTCAGAGGTAATTTACCCCACAATGCTAGTTTTTGGCTAGTAGGACTTTTAGATGTTGTTCTCTCAAAATATCCCAACAAATTCAATAATTTCACAAAATAATAAAATTTTTATGATGTCATCTCGGTAGAACTCTAATAACAGCTGCAACAGCTGCCTTTGTTAATTTTGCAGATCCCAAGCAGCCAAAGCAGGAAAAATATTTGTCTTACGACTGTGTGGAATGTGGCAAACATTTCCCCAACAAAACAGCTTATTCAGCTCATATGAACATCCATTATGACAGGAGGCCGTACAAGTGTGTTGAGTGTGGAAAGACATTCCGACAAAGCTCACATCTTGAGAAGCACAAGTTGCTTCACACCGGTGAAACACCTTATGTCTGTCAGTATTGCAACAGAGCATTTAGATGTCGATACAATCATCGAGACCATGAACGAATCCATACAGGAGAGAAGCCTTGCAAATGTAAAACTTGTGGCAAAATGTTTCGTTGTTCTTCTAAACTCTCCTCTCACCGTATGTCCATTCACGGGATTGGCTCCTCTCGTTACACCAAAAATGCCAGATCTGGTAAAGGGGCCTTTTCATGTAAAATATGTAAAAAGACTTTTTCTTGGTCAAGTGCACTTTCGACACATAAGAAAACTCACAATGCTGTTGGGACATATAAGTGCACTAAGTGTCCAAAAGTGTTCAAGTGTAACAGCAATTTGTGGAATCATTTAAAAACACATTCTAAAGAGAAACCTTTTGAATGTGAGCTTTGTGGACAGCATCTAAAACGGAAAGGAAACCTCAAAAGACATCTATTGACTCAGCATGATCCTGACGAAGCAGAGGAATACCTCAAAACGAGTAAGATGTTTGCAGCTTCTATTGACAAGAAATCAAAATGAACAGTTTTCTGTTCCTGACACTCTTTCTTTTAAACTTGAAGAACATATGCACTTTTAGGAGCTATATTTGAGGTGGTTTAGAGATAAGTAATGCAAAAACTTTCATACCCCTCAATATTGCAAGAGTGCTATTAAGACAAATTTTGAAAAAAAAATTTAAATTCGTTATGTATTAGTAAAAAAAATACCATGTTAAGGTTCTTCCAAAGAGTTTTTTTATAATATTTTCCTCTAGTTAGCCAGCAACCCCTTCCACCTGCCTCTAGTCCAGCCAGAAGCACTTGAAAAATTAAACTCCCACTTTAATATTTTTATATATTATATTATAAAATATAACATCATAAATTTCAGTATTAAATCTATCTTGTACGATCATGTCACTCTAAGGGCTGAAAGAGTTAAGCCTCAAGAGACTTACAGTGTTATAAGATGTAAATGCAGAAAACATTATTTACCGCTACACAGAACTTTGTCCATTTATTATTATCAATTTTTGCTTCTACACTGTACTCCGTCCTTTTGCTGTCAATAGTTCCCTCTGGAACCTTACCACTACCAATTATTGGTTCTTTTCTGACAGTAAAAATAAGGTATTTTATAGCTTATTATTGATTCAGTTCTGTTAAGTGATTTACATCAAATAATTTTATGCTGAATGATTCATAGTTTTTGACTGAGCTTGTTGCATACCATTTGATTTAAGTTTTATTAGTTCTATTTCACTAGAGGCGACTGATCCATTTAAGACAGATTTTCTGTTTATTAGACTCTTTCTTGATTTCAAAACAGGATGGTGTGCATTTTGGATGAATAATCTGTCTGATTTTAACCTTCTGAGTTAATATCTGTCTGTTATATAAGACAGCTTTTGAAGACATTTTATCTGAGATAGGTGAAATAAATCAATAAATTACATAAAAAACATAGAGCTTGTCACGTGTGTATAAATCTCCACAACATGACCCACAAGCAGCCCAAGCTCAGTATGAGAGTGTAATCATGCGTTCTGATTGGTTGAGCTACTACTAGGCTATATGTTATAGCCCATTAGTAGCAAAAAGCGCGGGCTTTTTGGCGGCAAAAGAGGATTAAAGTCCAGCTTTAACTAGCTAAAAGTTTTTTATTCTCGATATTTTTTACCAACTAGTTGGATTTTACTAAAACAATAATCTCGCCCTCATGGCCTCTGAGTCCAAAGCCCATTCAGCCTTCGGCCTCATGCGCTATTGACTGAGAGCCCATTCAGGCTCGAGGAATAATTGTTAAATACATGTGGTATCATATTGTGTAATGCTCAAAGCAGCTATGAACATTAAGGATTTGTACAGGAATTTAGGTGGCGGTGGAAACTTGAGAGTGAAGTAAATCCGTTAAATCATACTGACATAGCGGATTGTGAAAATAACACACAACAGGTAAGAACAAACCAAATAAAGAAGGTACAATGTTTTTCATTGAAAATTCCTGAGAGTACTTATCTTCTTGAATCTATTCTAAATTCCCCTCCAATTTCTTCATGTTCACGGCAATTTTGAGGATTAAGCAACATGATACCAAACTTAAAAGTGATGAACACTCTGATACTAAACTTGGGATACCTGTGCATGACGGAGAGCCCACGACATTTTCTGGCCAGCACTCATACACCAAAGAGGTAGTACACTGCGTGCGCCTAACACCAAGCTTTTACCGCAATCGCAAATAAGGAATTTCCACGTCGAAGTGAAATTGTTCCTCTTCCTTCGGCTCATTCGGAATGCAAGCTGGCTCTGTGAACTGAACTTCATAATGGATGCAGGGGCTGAAAATGAACAACAATCCGAGGGAATCCCGAAGAACAAGGCGCCAACATTTCTGGTAGATAGCTGGTCCTTGGGTGAGTTTCCTTTCGATTCAGCTGTTTCTTTATAGTCTTTTGTCATAATTAACTGTCTCGGAGTTCCTAAGTTTTTTACTTCCGATTCGTGACTGGTTCTATTTAAATCGCTGTGCTATTATGCAGCAGAAGCAATAGCGGACGTTTTTTCGCATTGGGCATGAAATATCATGCTCTAAAAGACGCAAAACATTAAGGTGTCCTTTACTCTCAGATAAACCAGCAGTTTTTCGCTATATCTCATCCATATATGAGGGTTACAGTAGGCAGCGGTTCAAACTTTAAAACAGTTTTCCCCTGAGGATGACAATTATAACAATGAAATTTAAGATTGTAGGAGCTTAACACAGTAGTATTTAAGCATATACTAAGTGCATTAAGCTTAGGCTTTCATTAATTTCATCTTTGCAAATTTATATAGATATATTAACGTCATTCTTTATTTAAACAGGTGCAACAATTAATCCTTAAGCTAAAACAATACAGTTAGATGATACAGACTTGCAAATTTTACATTGTCAGATACATTCATAATACTATTGTAGTGTAACTGTTATACCTAGTACACATGTAATACATGTATTGGGGAAACATTCTTGGGCTCATCTGAGTCATGCAAAAGTCTAGCTGATTGCAGGGCAAGGGCAGAACCTTCATTTCTTAGTTCTGGAGTTTGAGTATTGGTCCGTACCCAGGAGTCAAACCTGTGACCTCCTGCTCTACAGTCAAGCACTCTGATTTGTCAACTGTTAATCCTGCCCCAGTTAAACTTGGCAATTCAACTGATCAGGGCTGTCAGCTCCCCATGTCTTCAAATATTGAGTATTGATGAGTAAGGGATATGATAGATGACGTCATGTCGCACGGCATATGACGTCATTTGTGTAACTAATACTCATTGACTCTGATCAACATAAACCACATAAAACAGTTCATATTTAGCCACATTATTGCCTAAATTACATTGGCATACCAGAGTTTATGAGGACACATTCCATGTTAACAGTAAAATGCTTATAAGCAACGCATGCAAAATATTTAATACTTTACAGTCAGTGATTCGAGTTAACAAGAATTAGCAAACTTTGGCGATTATCCAGGAGATTTCAGTCTCTAATCTGGAGACAGGGAGATACAGTCCAAAATCTGGAGTCTCCCGTATTATCCAGGAGAGTTAACAGCACTGACTGATTTTATAAGGTGCTTTTATCCACAGTGTTAATGGATTTTTGCCAACTTATCATGTCAAATAATAATGATTAAAAAAAGCAGGGAAGGACTTTTATTCTGAAAGTGGACTTAGGAATAGAGCCAAATACTCACTACAGCTGAATTAAAAAGCGCAATAGCATCACCGATCTATTCCACCCTCTTGCTTCACATTATCAATACCTTTCCTTAAAAAACTTGCAGGTGTCTCTTTCTTGGAACGTTATGGCTGGTTCATTGTTCTTGGTCTGATTATCTTAGTCTTCCTGTGGCAAAAA